ATTTCTTCTGGCGAGATTTTATTTTATTTTTGATTGTGGGTTGGTCAATGTTCAGTTATTGACCGTGTGGCTCAGGGAACTTCTTTCGGACTATTTATTGGTATAGTCCGTGATCGTTTCATTTCGATTTATTGTGTCAAACACGAAACGACTGTGAACTTTATTCTTTCAAATAAGTTATGCAGACAAATAGTTTGGGTAGAAATTTGTGATCACGATGGGGGAGAAATAATTGGTATAATAAATGTTTGATGAAGTCTGATGTTGTGATGTGTAGCCAAGAGATAGAGCCACAGGGAGTGATTTTTGTAAAACTGATCCCATCCTTAATGAGGAAAAAAGGGGCGCTCCCAATAAACCAAGGGTCGATTTTATTAAAAATTGGAAAAGGAGACTTACAAAATGGTGTCTAATAATGCCGATTAATTTAATTATTGGAATACATTACAGTTATATAAAATAACTATAATTCTCATGAAGTTTACTGGTAATATGATACATATCATATAACTGTTAAAATAATTTTATATATTTTACTGACGAATATTTAATGAATTTAATTTGATGATTTTGCATTATGGATTAACTTCGGATTTCCCGACACTTAGTACGCTCATATTTTAAATTGTATAATGTTATATTACTTAATATTTTTCTCTTTAATTTGGTTTCCGAGCAATTTTAGCAAGTTTTCTTAATTTTTGCTTATTATATAAATTATAAAATGCGAAAAATGAAGAAAAAAAGTGAAAGAGATAAATAGATATGTAAATAAACGAGAAATAATTACGTTTGAATTAAGACCAACAAGAATATAAAAGAATATGAATATTTAAATAAATAAATTAATTGAAAAGAATCAAACTGAATTAACTATGCAAACGTATCCATTTGTAATTTATAATTCTCTATGCTTTATTACATTATTCGATTGCTTTTTTAAATTTCAAAACATTTTTTTTTTTTATCAGGCAGTAAAAAATGCTTCGAATATCGCAATCTGCTTGGAGTACAGATAAATTATTGTTATTTTTTTATCTCAATGATTTTCAGTATTGGTAGCAATCGAATAATATAATAAAGCATAGAGAATAAGAAATTACATTTAATTCATATCATACAAATAATATATCATATCAGTAGAATGGTTAGTGATAATAGAAAAATTCTTAAATATATTCAAACCAATCAATATTTCTATTTATATATAATTTTACGAATTATTGTTGAAGTAACAATTCTGCATTGTTAACATTGAGACGAAATATTTGATTTTTTATTATTACCAATAAATTTTATTGTGTTTTGAGCTTTGCCGGTTTTCTGAATATAAATAATATCTACTAACATTTTAAATGTGAACTTAAGGGTTTGAAATTCTAATACGTAATAACCAATGTGTTTTAATATTCTGAATTTATGGATTAGGAATAATTTTCTGATTCTTAGACAAGTCCAGTTGACATATAAATAAGTGATCATCCTGCAAATGTCATATTGATCAATCAATTTTTCTCATCATTATATTAATAATGAGCAAAAAAAATTTGTT